GGGGGGGGGGGGGAGCCAAAAACACTGACTGAAGAGACAATTGCAAAGGAGAAGGTCACTGAGAGAAGTCTGGTTGGTGAGGAGGGAAGAGGTCCCATCAAGGAAGACTTGGAAGGTCAGGTTTCCAGCCTCTGCCTGAAGGCAACATGTTCATGGAAAGAACAAGGGCCTTGGAGCCCTGCACGGAGACATGCTCTGCCACTTCCCAGCTGTGTGACCACATGAAAGTCACTTTTCCTCTCAGCCTCTCAATTGGAGCTACAGCCTTCTTCACGGATTGTCAGCTCTGAATTTTAAACTATGTAAAGCCCTATTTGGTATGATGACTGCTAAGTCACCCGCAGAAGGCAATCAGCAAATGTTATTTCCCCTTCCCTTCTTTGTACAGTCCCCGCCCTCCAGGATGGCATGGGAGTTGTATTTTGGAAAAATAAACTTGACAGTGGATTCCTTCATTCCTTAGCTCACCCAACCTTTTGAAGCTCTTGTTTTGCTAGGCACCATGGGAACCTATTGTCCAGAGGAGAGATGTGCACAGTAACTTAGAATAATAATGCAAAGATTGACCCAAAGTCACCAGGCAGGAGGAGGCCTCCGGCTAGATCAGAGGTTTCATAAGAGACAGTATTTCATTAGGCCTTGAAGGATTTGACTTAGGTAGGATGTCCTAGAAGTTGAAGAAAGGATACAGACCAGAGAGGCAGATGGGCTGGCTATTGTTATAACTTTTCTAGGACTCCTTTTCTCCAGGTGGAAATAAACACAAAGAGCCTTGAAGTGACAGCCCGTTTTGGTCTCAGTGTTTCCTCTTACTAGCTATGTACCTCATACCGCCTGATACCTAGGTGTCCTCATCTGTTAAAAAGATGATAATGCCTATCTTCCAGAGCCACTGTAAAGATTCAAGCCATGCACCTGAAGTGCCCAGAACATGGTAGGTATTTGAAATGGTGGTTTTCATCAGCTTAATGACTGGGTTTTATCATGGAAGATGATGTTAGGTCCCACCCAGCTGTGAGTCAGTGTTTGTGCTTGCCTTATAGTTGAAGGGTCTCCTAAGAACTGAGGACCCTCTCAGTCTCTGAATGGCAGGCATCCTGGATGGAAGGGTGTATGGGAGGGTGTGGAGGGCCCAACAGTTGGAACGAAGCCTAGTTTATGTTACAGAGCCAAGAGGCACCCTGGGCTCCCCAATCCCAAGTGACTTAAGATGGCCAAGTATTTACTCGACAATAGCTCCATTATCAAGGATCCTACCCTACCCTCCAACTCAAACAAATGGACTTTTGAGCAGGATTTGAGGAGTTACTAAAAATCTGAAGCAATAACACCAATAAATTTAAACATCCTTTTCCAAGTACAATTCCTGCAACTCTAAGTGAAAACATTAAAAGCACTGTGTCCAGAATGGGATGTGACACCTCCCCCTCTTTTTTTCCATCTCAATCCCAAGAGCGCGGCAGTGAAAAGAACCATGAACAAGGGTTTAGGGGATATGAATGCTAGACTAGGTTCTGTCACCGATTTTGCAGTGACTCCTAGAAAAGCCATTTCAATTCTCCGGATTTCAGTTTCCCTGCAGTAACACTGAGGTTGACCCCATCTTATTTCATAAATTTATCTTGACAAGTTTTAAAACATTAGAGCGTGCGGAACTAGAAGGAAACTTCTGAGATCACACAGTAAAGAAGCCTTTGGGGCTTATGCCACATGTAATATAATAGCTCCCTATTAGCTCGTCTCAAAGAACCCCATTTATAACTTACGGGGCTAATTGTAATTATGTGTCCATACTTCCCCACACCCCATTCCCAGACAAAAGAGGATGCCTTATACACACTGAGTACTATGAGTTAAATTTAAACTTATACTCCAAATCCTACGCTTAAAAATGAGGGACCTGAGCCTTGAAGGCTGTGTGGCTTGTCACGGCTGCCTGGAGCAGACAGCAAGGCACTGCTAGAGCCCATAAGGGTAGAACTCTGAATTAGTAGTCTTAGAAAGAAGCCGTCCTGACTTCCCAGCTGTGTGAACTTGAGGTCTACAACCTTAGCTCCTCAGCTTCCACATCTGGAGGGTGGGAACAAAACCTTTCAGAAGACAGTTGTGATGTGAAACGAGTGTTTTCCCTAAAGCCCTTCCTCTGAAGAGTACTTCGAATATAAGAACAGTTTTAATGTCGACATGTTTATCAAAGCTGTATCTTGGCCACATAACACTTGTAGCTTTAAAATACCTGACCTAATTGAAGTGAAACTCAGTAACCATTTCAGCTAGCAATTAGGCCAACTTGAAACAGGCTTCCTAAGGAATTTTTAACACATGGGTCAAACCTCTACTTCGGAATGAGAAAGTAGGTTAAACTTGCATGCCTAAAAGTTCTGTGCTCCACCATAATAGGAGCTCATGGACAGAAATTGGGTCATGCCCATTTTCACCAGTCTAATATCAAGATTTAGTCAAAAATAAGATATTCAATCCCTGGTCAGGTGGCTGTTTGGAGTGTTGTCCAGTACACCAAGAGGTTGCAGGTTCCATTCCCGGTCAGGGCACATACCTGGCTTGCAGGGTTGGGGCGCATATGGAAAGCAACCGATTGATGTTTCTCTCTCTTCCTTCCTCTCTCTAAAAATCAATAAAAACATACCTTTGGGTGAAGATTAAGAAAATAGTATCTTAAGACCTTTGTGTAACTGAACCAATCCACTTAAAAAGCACGTTTGGGCCTGACTGGCGTGGCTCAGCGGTTGAGCACCGACCTGTAATCCACGAGATCAAGGTTCGACTTCTGGTTGGGGCACATGCCCAGGTTGTGGGCTTGATCCCCAGCTGATCAATGACTCTCTCATCATTGATGTTTCTATCTCTCCCTCTCCCTTCTGCTCTCTGAAATCAATATATATATATTTTTTAAAGGCACGTTTGGTCCTGAGCACCATGCTGGAGGTAGTAACAATTGTGAGGGGCTAGAGTCATCACCTGAGGAAGGGTATAACTGGTGATACTGAACTTCAAGAGAAGTCTTGGGGTGCAAGCAAATGGGGAGTTTGCTTAAGGAGTTAGGCCTTTTTCTTTTTTAAACTCTGAGGTTCTTCAATTTTAAAGAATACTCAAAGCTTTCTTATTATTTATTAATCAGTAAATACTATTTTAGGGATGCAGGTTGTGTCCCTGATTAATATTTTATTACATCTAATACAGAAAGAATATTAAGAAAATTTGAGGACATGTATAACCACGTATCTACCTTGAGTGCTAACTATCAACCAGCATTCCACCAGGGTGGGTCGAATACCCTCCCCGCCCAAGTTAAGCACAGACCTGACCTTTCACAGGGGCGCTGTACTGCGGAAGGCAGCATTTTGGTCTGCTCAGCTCCATATAAGCACCAGCTATCAGGAAGAGTGGACAAGAAAGGCTGTGTTGGCTGGGTTCACAGCAAACTACTTAAAATGCATGAGTTTTAGGTGTATATTACAAATTGTGTAATGGAATCAAAGGATAAGAAAACTTACTGTATGAAAAATGCTTCATGTTTGAGACTCAAACCAGAATTCAATATGGTAACCTGTTATATAGCTCCTTGAGGAGGTGAAATGAAGACCATACACTTAGAGATATCCCCAAAGCAGCATTTATTTACCCACTGAATTCCAAAACATTTAATTTAGAAGTCTGGCATTTCAATAATTACCCATCTTGATTGACATGGGCTGACACACATGGTGCTGTCAGGATACACAAGGACAATAGCCAAAGAGTTACAAAAAATAAATCCATGATTCTTAAACAATCTCAACCAAAAAAAAAAAAAAAAAAAAAAAAGGAATAAAAATTCGTCAGTAGAAACAAAACCCGGGACAACCCAGATGTTGGAATTCACAGAGAAAGACTTCAAAAACAACTATTNTGCATTTAAAAGAAGGTTTGCGCACATCATAATTTAAAGAGGCAAAACAAGGGCGCTACTGAAACCTCACATTAACAGTTTATTATAAAGCTGACGGAAAGGAGCAAGTGTTCTCTTTGTATCAGCTTCCCGTAACAGTTTTCCATTAGTTGAAGGAAGAGAAGAGGTGGGAGGGATGAATTCATTTTTGCATGCACAAGATGTACTGCTTATTTAACAAAACACTATCAGCTCATTTTAAATGGATCATTTAAATATCACTGTAGCCTGTTTTGGCTAATTCTCCTTTCTAAACTTCCCCACTGCTTTCGCCTGGATTTCACAACTACAAAGAGGCATAGTAAAATGCCTCATTCAGAATGCACTTGTCTGCACAATTCGAAAAGAAAGCTCCCATGGGCTCAAAGCAACCATCAATCCAGCAACACCCATGAAGATTTATCTGAAATTGCTTCCCAGGGGGCAGGGGAGCAGATCTGAGTAGCTGTGCTGCCAATACAGATAGGTTTAGCACTAGATATTTAGTGATTGTGGCAAGGAAGAATTGGTGATGGGGGGGTTGTGGGTGAACGAAAGTCCAGAGACCCAAAGGCTCTTCAGTAGCCTTCTGCTTCTTCATCGTGCTGCTTGCTCATGTAGAGGGTGAGGTTGTCTCACAAGTGCTACCAGTTTTCAACAACAACATACTTTTAAGAATCAAGAAAAAAAATAATGCCACTTGGAAGGAAAGACAATGGAAACCTTCTTTAATATAGATTTATAAGTGATAGGGTCCAGGCTCTCTAAACAACTTTGAAATATTTTGTTTAAAAACAAATTGTTTAAAAACAAATTATTNCCTTCTCCTGCTTCTTCATCCTGCTGGTCGCTCGTCCAGAGGGTGAGGTTGTCTCGCAGCAACTGCATGATGAGCGTGGAGTCCTTATAGGAATCCTCGTTTAGTGTGTCCAGCTCAGCTATGGCGTCATCGAAGGCTTGTTTGGCTAAGAGGCAGGCCTGCTCGGGTGCATTCTGGATCTCGTAGTAGAACACGGAGAAGTTGAGGGCCAGGCCCAGCCGGATGGGGTGCGTTGGCTGCATGTGCTCTTTGCTAATTTCAAAGGCTTCCTTGTAGGCCGCCTCAGAAGCTTCGACCACACTGTTTTTCTTCTCCCCGGAAGCTACCTCTGCCAAGTAACGGTAGTAATCGCCTTTCATTTTCAGGTAAAAGACCTTACTCTCATACTGGAAATCATTGCAGTTCTTGATGAGAAACTTGTCAAGCAGAGCCAGGACATCATTGCACACTGTTTCCAGCTCCTTCTCAATCTTCTCCCGGTAAGCTTTAACTTTCTCCAACTTCTTTTCATTTCCATCAGCCATGGTTTTCTGCTCAATGCTGCTGATGACCCTCCAGGAAGATCGCCTGGCACCAACAACATTCTTGTAGGCCACAGAGAGGAGGTTTCGATCTTCATTGGAGAGAGGTTCATTGAGCTCTGTCACCTGCAAAATGCCAAAGATAAACACTGAGTTCCAAGCCCAAAAATCTTGGAAAGAAATCTTCCCTTCAACCTAATCAAGAACCCCTCAAAGAAAAAGATTATGGACAAGCCACTCCACAGAAAAACCAATTATACATGGATCCTATGTAAAGGAAAGACTGTAGTCTAACCAAATAAATACTTGGAACTCAAAATACTAATTGACAAGGGCTTTGAGAAATTCATAATTCAGGCCTTATAACATGTTGCCTTCATCTTGGCAGAGGTATAGGGTTGGGGAGATAAAGGTAATAATCATGGAAAGGTTGTGAGGTGACGGTACATAATGGTGGGTAGAAGAGCCCCAAAGTTTCAGCTATTCTGCAAAGGATATTCAGTAGTAAGATCATGTGATTCCTTTGTCAAATGTCAAAAATTACAGACTAGAAGTCTGTTCCAGATTCTACTTCCAGCTGTATATTCTACGAAGAACCAATGAAACCTCCCTCAAATACGTATGAATAGATAAGTAAGTCACAGATGAGATCAGACAACACACAGATCTAATGGCCAGTTTCAGCTTGTGTGGTTACACATGGAATTCCTCTAGTACAACCAGTCCTCCCCTAAGCCAAAACAGATACATTAGTGACAGTAAAGTGCCCCAGCCTCTGATGAAAAGAAGTAGAGCTATTCAGCAGCAAGCTTTACTCTCACCTACCTGACAGGAAACCCTGACTGGCCATTAAGAATGGAAGCACCAATTATTTAAACTGGAACTGTTAATTGTCACATGTCACTTTCATTACTTAGTTCTCCATCCTTATTTAGAAACAAGGCCTTAGTAGATGTAATCAGTTAAGATGAAGTCATAACTGCATTAGGGTGGATCCTACATCAATGATTGCTGTCCTTATAAGGAAAAGGAGATCTGGAGACATGCAAACAAACACACAGAGAGAACACCTTGTGATGATGGAGGCAGAGATTGGAGTGATGTGTCTACAACCCAAGGAACACCAAGGATTACCAGAAGCCACCAGAAGCTAGGACAGAGGCAAGGAAGGATTCTTCCCTAAAACCTTCAGAGGGAACACAGCTCTGTCAACACCTTGATTGTGGACTTCTAGCCTTCCAAATGATAATAAAACAAATTTCTGTTGTTTTAGGCCACCCAATTTGTGGTGCTTTATGGGGCAGTCTTAGGAAACTAATACAGACTTGGAATCAGAAAACCTCGGCCTGGGCCATAGCAAAGCCAATAAATTACTAAATTGGCCTGTATCTTCTATAAAGCAGGGGGATTCCTTAATTACATGACCTACTGGTAAAGAGAAGCACTTGGGAAATCATAAAACACTCAACAAAAAAAAGTATTACTATAAATCAAACCAAATAAGGACAGAACCTTCTCCAATGGAGGGGAAAAGCCAAGTTCAATGGAGAAAGCTATTAACAGCATATTAAAAACAGACATGCCTAACATGGACTGAGAAAACTGAGCAGTGGAGAATCAGAAATTTAAAAAACAAAAACGTTGATAGATTTGAAAAATTAGTAGTTCTTCTTAAGAACATAGGCAACCAATGTATTCATTTGTGTAAAATTAGGAACCTTGTGCCAAGTTCTTAAAAAGTGAAACAAGCAATTGTCTACCCAACTCAACAAAGCCCAGGCAAAATAAAAATACCAGCTCCTTCTTCCAATTTATTAATTTCCCTGCCTGTCCCCAGTCCCTCTGTTCTTTTGCCATAAATCCTTAGCCTGGATTCTCTCATCCTTTGCCTACTCAATCAATCCCACCCTACTACTTTCTTCAGTGTGGTCTCTGCTCCTCTTCACACAGACAGGGGTGGTCTCTCAGCTCTGGTCTCTGATCTGCCAATCTTCTCTCTACTAATCAAAATTCTATCTCAAATATTCTGACAAGCCTCAGAATGCTTGAATTCCCTAGAATAACTCTTTTCTGGGGCAACAGTCAATAAAACATAACATGAAGCAAGAACAGAATTTGGAGAGCCCCTTATATCTTACAGTAAGTAAATCTGACAAAAGGCACTTGACATGAAAATGCAAATGTATCCGTAAGGAGTCACTATATACTTCTTCCTTGACTAATACAGTGGCTTGTGTTAGATCACTGCAAAAATACCCAAAGGTAACTCTCCAGAGCACATCATTAAAACTAAGTGCCCATCTGAAATGTATTTATGTCACATAGGATGTTTGTGCCAGGGGCAGCATCATTTCATTAAAAACAAAAAACCCTAAGATATCTGGAGTTTAGCCTAAGTTAGCTGTGTGGCCTTGAATGAATCACAACCTTTCATCAAAAGTAAAATAAGGAGGATCAGCCCAAATGATCTCCAAGGACTTCTTCAGCTCCCAAATCCTAGGATTCCACTTTTCCTGAGCAACAATAAAAAGTGTGGTTAAGGCATGAAGTTGATACTACTAATGTAAGTGAAATTTGGGTGTATCTGTGGGTTTCAGGAATTCGTGTAGCATTCCCTCTCTCCATCAGGAATAAATTGCCAAAAAAGGCTACTGGGAAATATTTATAATAACACCTCCATAAGAAAAAATAATTTACTAGGCGTATTAGTGTTTATGTAACAATCATCTGGTTGCCTGCCAGTCTGAATGAATCACTATCAGCATCAGCTGAGGGTGACTAACATCACTAAGCAAGCATTGTTCTTAGAACTCCAGCCAGGGCCTAACTAACTGGATACATTTAAATACAGTATTTTTTCATATTCCTGGGTTACAACTCAGTTAACAAAAGGAAACTTATGGAATGAAGATAGTTTTATTACTTGATCAAATAACTAAAGAAAACTGGGAGTTTCCCCAGATTGGAAAATTATAGGTTGAAGGGAAATCAGATGGCCCATTAAAACAAAACAGATTCATAGCCAGTGTTGACCAGTGATACTTATTGTAAATAACCTTCATTAATATTAGTTAACCCCAGTTCCCAACACTTCAAATTCCAAAATACTAGAGCCAGGAGATCTAAAGAAAAGTCTGGTACTATACTAAGAGAAGCAGATACTGGGAGGCAATGTAGCGTAATGGAAAGACAGGAGAGCTCTAACTACTAGTCCAACCACACCAATACTAAATCTACAGGATGATCATCTGCAGATTCCATGGACATGATTTACTCTGTCTCTACAATCTTAAGTTTCCAAATGTTTCCTAACTAGGAACATGAAGGCAAGACAAAGAATTTTCAAATAGAAGAGACTAGGCAATGGTGTCAACCTTCCTTCCACTCTAATGCTGGAGTTTCAACACACTCTCATTTCTGCACCATGCAGAGCACTAAGTCTTCATGTGGTAACTCCATCTGTAACGGGCTCCCCCATCCCTGCTCAGTCTCTCTTCCTTCTTCTCCTGCCCTTCTCCCCACCTCACTTAATCCTGCTTACACTCTTCCTGAAAACCTTAAATTGGTGGACCCTCCCCATTTATAAAGCCCTCCTCTCCACTCCTTTAAGGACTGGGCTCCCTGTCAGCCACTAGACCAGTATCCTTACCCACGCAGCCTTGGGCTACACCAACTCCCAACCCTGGGGCACTCGCTTCCCCCTTCTCTCAGCCTCAACACTATACAGCATTACTAAAAGTCACAAATGACCTGGTCTACTATGAATTCATTTATCTTCCTATGACACTACTCGCTTACTCAAAAATCCCTAAGGGCCTCCTCCCACTAACTCACAAGGCAATAAACTATTCGTTTGTGAGTAAAAATAGATCCACTGCCAAAAATAGCACAGGGACTATTTGGGAAAACTTAAAAGTTCTTATTCTGGGAAACATCAAGCCTCAAAAGTAATACTGAGCAAACAAAAATGCCACCCCTGAGCTGCCAGGCCACAGTTGGGGTTGTCATTTCTCCTGAATAGCTCTCCCATCCTTCATAGCTACTCCACACTACCATCCCATTCTTTAGTTACCCACACCCACACTACCAACAAGTTTGCTTTTGATATTAGCTTGTAACAGAAGAAAATGATTTTCATAAGCAATTAGGTAAACATAACCACATCATAAAATCTTTAAAGCTTCTGTGGCAGAATCCTATACATCTGTGCATGGTTTTTTTAAATAATTGGGATGAAAGCTTTCTTGGCTGACTCTTCCCAAGTCAAAGCCCTGAAAGTGAGGATTCTGCCTGCTCTCAAGCTGGCAAATCACCATCAGTCATCACTTGCCTGGGCCTGGAAAGACCACGCCCTGTCCTCACCAGAGAGGCTCAACTGCAAGTTCAGAGCAGATGAGTTCAGGTAATTAACATCTACTCAAGCTTATTAGTCAAAACAGCTACCTTTGTATCACTGAGACTGCTTGGGTCTTGCTCTTGACATACTGGACATTTTCATAGGCACTGGCAGGAGTTAAACACAACCCCCATCTGAAAGGCACTACTGCATGCTACTGTCCCTGGAAGCATCAGTATTAAAGGCTTCAGAAACTGTGCCAGGTTCTGATCACAGGAAAGTGCTAACGCCCACCACCAAAGAGGGGAAGGCCATGGCAGTAAGGAGAGGGGGGATGCAGAAAACAGGCAGCCTCAACTTGGACAATAGCAATTTTACCAACAACCTAAAGCCTGAAATTTGGGGGGGTCTATGTACTTATAAAATATACTAAAGGCAATACAGAAAAACAACTGGTGCCAAGGATATCAAAGAACTTCTTAAAATACCACAAGTATAATTTAACATCGTCCTGCACTTAATTCATAGCAGGAACTCAAAGTCCATTAATATTTTACTTAAGCTATATAAAATCTTGGTCTTCAAGAGAATAAGCAAAATCCAGATCTGTGATTTTGCCTTTTAGGCTCCTCTGCTGCAAAGATCTGGTAAGTGCTAGTAGATTCTGATTTGTTTAGTTGACTTGAGAGGGAGGGAGGAACACTGATTTGTTGTTCCACTTATTTATGCATTCATTGGTTGATTCTTTTTCTTTTTAAATGTTTTTATTGATTTCAGAGAGAGGAAGGGAGAGGGAGAGATAGAAACATCAATCAGCTGCCTCCTGCATTCCCACTGCTGGGAATCGAACCCACTACCC